TTTTTTTTTTTTTTTTTTTTTTTTTTTTTTTTTTTTTTTTTTTTTTTTTTTTTTTTTTTTTTGGGGGGGGGGGAGGATTTAGGCCAAGGATGGTCTCTTTGAATTATTTCAGATATTTTTTGTTTATTTTGAACTATGACTATTTAATGAAAGATGTCTAAGAGATTTTCTGGAATGTCTGTACTTCTTGCAGCTGGGCCCTACTTACTATCAATTCTGCCTACTCAGTGTCTACAAAAATAACCATAGATACAAAGGAGACCATTGCCCACCTAATATGCTAACATTTTGTTGCCAGAGGTCATATCTTACCTATCTTTCACTTTTATATGGAATCTGACTTTTGAAAACAAAATTAGCCAGCAGTACCTTTAGAGATGATTGGCTTCCCCAAAAGCAAAATCCCAGGTTCCTTTTGTTCTACCTGGGGATACAGCAAGAGTGGAGGAGTTTAAATAAGCAGTGAGAAGAGCCTCTGGACACTATTGATCTTACATATCCTTGATAGAAATTAAAAGAGAGAGGAGTTGATAGGCAGTAGGGGAACAGAAAAGAGCAAAGAAAATCCAGTTCTTATCTGGTCGTAAAAGGCATTCTCTCCTTGCCTGGTTTTTACCTCGGTAGAAGAGGAGCCATTAATCTCTAGCAAGTAGGCCCAACATGCTGAAGACTTGTCAGCACCATATAAACAGAATAAAGCAAACTGTTAATATTGCTGTCGTGAGAAAACTGAAAACAGACTGATTAATTGTATTGGCTCTCGACCGCCAGGGAGCCAACTTTGGTCGTCGCCTTATTAGGGAAGTCCCGGTTTGCTTTTAGGCCTTTCATTATGATGGCCATGCAGTTTTCATCCTCACTGTTTTTGTTATTGTTGTTAAATGAACGCCTTGTTCTTGAACTCATACTGCGGATCTTGACTGGCAGAGGTAATTAGTTAAGAAAAATCAGTGTCTTCCATGAAGCCTAAAATGTTTACAGAGCTGACAAGTCAGTTTCTGAGGACTCCCAGATGGCGACCCTGCTGGACTGGTTCAAGGCCTAGTTAACTTTTCATGAGAAAAATTATTTACAGTGTCCACACGTGAAGGTGCACAAAGAACTCTCTGGAAAATCGTAGCACTGTCAGGACACATCCGGAGCAGCAGCCATTAGGGGAGTCTCTAGGAAGGTCCCTAAGAAGAGCAGCCCCTGCCCTAAGTAGCCCACTGAACACAGAAACAGTAGGATATATGGTAAATAAGAAGTCACAAACGGGCACCTCAGGGCCAAGTTTGGCCCTCAGACACATTTTGTTTGGCCTTTCAGGGATGGCCTCCACCAGGTTTTTAAATTTTTGAAATAGTTGCTAACATTTAAATAATCAGTTTCCATGAACATACAAAGCGCTGTTATTAGCCAACAAAGTCTGGTTAACATTGAATTTTAGAAGAATAAATCCATTTTAGCAATAATATTATCACTAAATTAGTCTCATTAATGTCCAGTAATTATTAGCACTTCCAAGTGTATAGAAAACCCTTCTTTAAGTTCAATAAATGAATACAACTCTTTATATTCTCTGTAACATTTAATATCAGCCAGACTTTGTGGCTAGTTTTCAAGTTAGCTAATTAAAAGTTTCATTAGCTGCAGTTGGGGCTTTAGTCTCAACAGATTAGCTGCATGAACCTACCAGGACTCAAACTACTAAAACACAGGATGTCTTTTTTATAGTCTTGAAAGCAGCCATTCTCACTCTACATCAAGAATTCCTTTTCCCTTGGATGACTTCTAGAACTACCGTTTTCAAGTCATCCGACCTCCTGATCTCCTAATAGCTCTTCTCCCTTCATTTTTTTCTAGAGGCTCATTCAGCAAATTATATATATACACCAATATTAACACTCTAAAAGGGACCTACAGACTCTCTAACAAAGACCATGTCATTCAAAACTAAACAGATAAATAAACTTTGAAAAAAGAACTCTGGCAAGTTACATATTAATTTTACTCTAATATATATATAGCTTTTTATTTACTGAGAAATCTTTCAGAAAGTTAGAAAGTGATTTTATCTTATTCTGGGATGAAATGAAAGATACATAAATTATCTAAAATTGTTTTCTAAGGGACAATACAAAAATAAAACTTATTGCAGGAAAAGTGTTATATTCTTGGAACTATTAAAAAGTACCATAAGAATTTGAGCTAGGATCTATAATAACTCCTATAATCTGCCACTTTTATAATCAGACCCCAGAATAATCCCAACCAACATTACTTCTGCTCCAGGGAGATTGTTGCTAAGAGACTTAAGCACAATTTCTGAATGAGCGGGTAAAAGAGACCCTTATTTTCCATAATCATCTACCAAGATATAATATCTGATGTGATTTTGTCACTTTTTCAGCCAATGAGATT